TATGCATGCATGTTCATTTCTCCGGAAAAAAATAGGCAAAAAAAGAAATTCATTAACAGGTCTGGAGCATTTGAATCCCTCACACGCTCACGCCTGTGCGCTTGGGTTGGCATGTGTGCGTGTGTGCTTACATAAGAGTATGTGTAGGTCAGCCATGGGTCACATGGCTTAAGGTCAGAATTGCGTTGCACTTGGGCGACTGGCATGTGCGCTTTACTGGTGTTTATTTGTGTAGTTTTGTTGTCGTGGTCGGATGGCCAATGAAACTAGTGAATCGATTAGTGTATTTCAAACTAATCGATTTATTGGCGGATGGACGAATGAATGAATGGATAGACCAGTGAGCGTTTGGATGGATGAGTGTGAGAGTGTGCATGGGCGAGTGAACAAGGAGTGAGTGGTACATGAGCGATTGATTCGAAAATGCTATTTGAGTGGTTGACGGTTCTTTGACGGTCTCATATCGTTTGAATTTGTTATCGTTGTGGTTGTGTATTTGGTTTTGCCTATATACTCGTGTACTGGCGTAGATTTCCGTTTCTGGAGGGCGAGGGTGGGGGGATGTTTGCACTTGTGTGAAAATGTTTTGTTTTATTTTCTTTTTGTCGGACACAAGCATACTATGTTTTGGAAAGATATGACCTAATTTGATTCATCCTAATGGTTTTTACTCTGCAGGCTCATCGGCCAGAAGCATGGAATACAATTGCTTGTCTGCCATACAACCATTCATAAACTCCTCCCGTGTTAATACTCCATCGGCGTTACTGTCCATTTTCTCGAAAATTTCATTTGTTCGATCCTCCGGGCTGAGATCCACAGTGGACTCGTCCGCTCCCAGCATACTGTAGATAGCCTGGACAGAGAGAAATAAAAACAAATCGGTGGAAGAGGAGGTAAGAAATTGTCAAGTATTGTTCTCTCGTAGGGATTGTAATAAGAGATTGTTTATAAAATATACATTTTATTTAATTATTTATTCCAGATGAGCTAGTTCAGTGCAGACCAGTTAAATTCCGGGAGCATTCGGTTTTACTGCGCGTAATTTGAGCGGAATGGAATGGAAACTGAGCGATAGAATGTAGGAACCGGTTTTCAATTCCTTATCTGGCTCGATCAAGTGTTACAATCAGCTCGTTTAGGTTTGGGTATGCTCCGGTATTCAACTTTCCTCATATGCACATTTCTGTGCTATAAATTTTTTTAAATAATAAGTAGTACACGAATGACTGGAAAAACGTTTCCAAGGAAGCAAGCGACTGGTTTAGCGGGTTTTATCGCTCGTCGGGTATGCGTATTTGGGACTCTTTTGTCTAATCATTCTGATACTTGATACTCCCGATTTGAATTAGACACGGCATATCTCATTGGTAGCTCAGGGAATCGACTGATGATGAACAGGCCTAGGAGGATCGTTGCTTTGATCCTGTATTAATTGATGCGGGTTGGATTTTATAAAAAATAGGAGGGAATGGCATTTTTTATTTTTCTCATCCCATGCTCACCTGAAAAACATTCACAGGAATCAAACAAAGCCGCCTAAATGACCGGTTGTCTACTCCACTCAAATTCAGGTCGACCTTTTCATTGGTCACAAACTAACAGCAAGACAGACCAAAAAACGGAGTGATCATTATGTTTGGCTGTGACATCAATGACAGCGTCAAAAAGTTCAAAATCTAATATAATTATGTTGTTAACAAGTGATAAGGCAAGATCCTGACCCCTCGTATCGCAGTCATTGTAATTACAATAAGCGCCTCGGTGTCGCAGGCGTGCTTTGGAGAACAATTGGAGGTAATGAAAAATATAATTACAAATGAACAAAGTTATACAAAATACATGTGGTTTGAATGCTGTAGGAGTGTGAACCGAAACAGGTCACAAGTGTTACGCTGATGCTTAGCTGTTCATGACCACAATCCAGATGTCAAGACTTTGAAGCAACTATTTTCAACTGAAATCCACAAATTAAAGGCGCGCCCTTCGATTGGCTGCGCTACACTTACACGCTCTCCTTCACATTGCGGGAATTTTCTCATTTTCACTCACCATCATGCGTCGTCGTTAATCACGGAGATGATATTATTTGTTTCAAACGTGCCAGAACATGGTTCAGCGGTTTGTGCGACTCTCGGTTCTCACTGTCCAGGTTGGACCAAAAAACGCAAGCGTGCAGGATGGTAGGTTGCCCTTAATTGCACCCCTCTGTCCAAGATGACTGTTCCCTCATTGGTGAGCACTAACACTCGGTCCGTCTCCAAAAATATCGGGTTTGACTATAGTGTCCTTCGATTAAGAATTCATATGAATACGTGTGCAGTCTGTGTACAAGAATCTTGGTTGAATAAATATATAGATAACTGTTTAGTGTCGATAGATGGTTTTCGAGTTTACCAA